TTACTGGGATTGGAGGGGCCTTTGATGAAGTTGGCTGCTTTACCGTGGCAATGCGAAGTGTAATTGGAGTCTATGGATAGCACGTTGGTTTCCATGATGGTCTGGGCTGTGTACACAATTTTCTGTACTTTCTTACGGTCCTGGGCAGAGCTGCTGCCATACCAGGACATTATGTACCCGGATAGAGTGCTTTCTATGGTGCATCTGTAAAAGTTGGTCAGGATCCTTATGGATACATTGAACTTCCTAAGCTGTCTGAGGAAGAAGAGGCATCACATCTACATGGGAGATCCAGGACAGATTGTTGGTTATCGTCACTCCTAGGAACTTGACATTCTCGACCCTCTCCATCTCAGCTTCGTTGATATGGATAAGGGTGTGTCTTCCTCCTTTCTTTCTGAAGACAATGATCAGTTCTTTTGATTTGCTGACATTGAGAGAGAGGTTGTTATCATTGCACCACACCACCAAGCAGTCTACTTATATCCTGTTTTCTGACTCATCATTGTTTGATGTTCAGCCTACCACAGTAGTGCCGTCAGGTAAACTTGTGGATGGTGCTCATGTGGAAGTTGGCTGTATAGTTGTGGGTGTACAGGGTGTACAGTAGGGGGTTGAGAGTGCATTCTGACGGTACATCAGTGTTGAGGATAATTGTGGAGGAGGTGCAATTGTCTATCTTCACTGATTGCAGTCTGTGGGTCAGGAAGCTGACGATCCAGTTGCAGAGGGCAGAGCTGAGATCTAGTCTCAGAATTTTTGAGATTAGTCTGGTAGGGATTATGGTGTTGAAGGTGGAGCTGTAGTTGATGAGTAGGAGCCTGACGTAGGTGTCCTTGTTATCCAGATGTTCCAGCAATGAATGTAGAGCTGGGGAAATGGCGTCTGCTGTGGACCTGTTTCACCAGTAGGCAAATTGCAGGGGATTGAGGCAGGCTGGGAGGCTAAAGTTGATGTGGGCCATGGCCAGCCTCTCAAAGCACTTCATGATTATGGAGGCCAGAGCCACTGGGCGGAAGACGTTGAGGCACATTGCATGTGTTTTCTTTGGTACTGGGATGATGGTGGTCTTCTTAGAGCAGGTGGGGACTTCAGATTGTAGCAAGGAGAAGTTGTAGATGTCAGCGAATACCTCCACCAGCTTGTCCGCACAGGATCTGAGTGCACGGTCGGGGACTCTGTCTGGGCCAGTTGTTTTCCTGGGGGTTTAGTCCCAGGAAGACAGATCTGACATCTGCAGCAGTGACAGAGGGAACAGGTGTGCCCGGGGGAGGTGACACCACGCCACTGGCATTTTGCTCAAACCAAGCTTAGAAAGCAGGAAGCACATCAGGGAGGGGTGTGTTCTTGTTCACTACTTTGTTCTGCTTCATTTTGTATCCTGTTATGTAGTGATGGCCTTACCACAGGCGACAGGTATCTGTGTGGTTAGTCTGGGCCTCTAACTTGGTCCCGTACAGATTTTCACCTGGTTCTGTTAATCAGCTCAAACCTGAGTATGGATCAAAACTTATTCTTATAATGATTGGCAAAACAGATTAACAACTGAGGTATAATTTGGAATTAGAACGATTTCCCTTAATCCCAAAAACAAGGTACTCACACAACACAAAAGACACCAGTCTGAACAGAGATTTTTAAAAGACAGTAAATGGCAATTCACCCTGGTTCACCAAGGATCTGAAAGTAAAGGATAGAATTTGATGACTTCTCATGGTCCACCAGGTTTCTTACAATTTTCTTCTTGTGATGGTTTATACTTGACTGAGCTCGCGATGTTGGCCCAGGGCAAAGGTAAACTTTCCTCCTCAGATGCCCAAGCCAAAATTTTTCATTTGGCATTCTAGCTATTGCCTAATCAACATGTTCAGAGGTGTTATTACACATGTCTGGAGTAGGCAGGGCTTGAACCTGGGTCAGAGATAGTAGGAACTGCAGATGCTGGAGAATCTGAGATAACAAGGTGTAGAGCTGGATGAACACAACAGGCCAAGCAGCATCAGAGGAGCAGGAAAGCTGACATTTCGGGTCTAGACCCTTCTTCAGAAATGGGGGAGGGGAAGGGGATTCTGAAATAAATAGGGAGAGAGGGGGAGGCAGATAGAAGATGGATAAAGGAGAAGATAGGTGGAGAGGAAACAGACAGGTCAAAGAGGCGGGGATGGAGCCAGTAAAGGTGAGTGTAGGTAGGGAGTTAGGATGGGGGTTGGTCAGTCCAGGGAAGACGGACAGGTCAAGGGGGCAGATGAGGCTGGTAGGTAGGAGATGGGGGTGGGGCTTGAGGTGGGAGGAGGGGATAGGTGGGAGGAAGGACAGGTTAGGGAGGCGGGGACAAGCTGGGGTGGTTTTGGGATGCGGTTGGGAGAGGGGAGATTTTGAAGCTTGTGAAGTCCACATTGATATCATTGGGCTGCAGGGTTCCCAAGCAAAATATGAGGTGCTGTTCCTGCAACCTTCGGGTGGCATCGTTGTGGCAATGCAGGAGGCCCAGGATGGACATGTCGTCTGAGGAGTGGGAGAGGGAGTTGAAATGGTTCGTAACTGGGAGGTGTAGTTGTTTGTTGCGACCCATGCGTAGGTGTTCCGCAAAGCGGTTCCCAAGCCTCCGCTTGGTTTCCCCGATGTAGAGGAGGCCACATTGGGAACAGCAGATACAGTATACCACGTTAGCAGATGTGCAGGTGCATCCCCACCAGCCCCACCACACCCGGCACTTTTCCCCGCAACCTCAGGAAGTGCTACACCTGCCCCTACACCTCCTTTCCCCGCAACCTCAGGAAGTGCTACACCTGCCCCTACACCTCCCTACACCTCCCCCCTCACCCCCACCCCGCAACCTCAGGAAGTGCTACACCTGCCCCTACACCTCCCCCCTCACCCCCATCCCAGGCCCCAAGAGGCCCTTCCACATCAAACAGATGTTCACCTGCACATCTGCTAACGTGGTATACTGTATCCGCTGTTCCCGTTGTGACCTCCTCTACATCGGGGAAACCAAGCGGAGGCTTGGGGACCGCTTTGCGGAACACCTACACTCGGTTTGCACTAAACAACTGCACCTCCCAGTCGCTAACCATTTCAACTCCCCCTCCCACTCCTCAAACGACATGTCCATCCTGGGCCTCCTGCAGTGCCACAACGATGCCACCCAAAGGCTGCAGGAACAGCACCTCATATTTCGCTTGGGAACGCTGCAGCCCAATGGTATCAATGTGGACTTCACAAGCTTCAAAATCTCCCCTCCCCCTACAGCATCCCAAAACCAGCCAAGCTTGTCCCCGCCTTCCTCCCACCTATCCCTTCCTCCCACCTCAAGCCCCACCCCCATCTCCTACCTACTAGCCTCATCCTGCCCCCTTGACCTGCCCGTCCTCCCTGGACTGACCTATCCCCTCCCTAACTCCCCACCTACACTCCCCTTTACTGGCTCCACCCCTGCCTCTTTGATCTGTCTGTCTCCTCTCCACCTATCCTCTCCTTTATCCATCTTCTATCCACCTCACCCTCTCTTCCTACTTATTTCAGAATCCCCTTCTCCTCCCCCATTTCTGAAGAAGGGTCTAGACCTGAAATGTCAGCTTTCCTGCTCCTCTGACGCTGCTTGGCCTGCTGTGTTTATCCTTGAACCTAGGTGTCCTGACTCCCAGGCAGGGTCACTATCACTGTGTCACAAGAGCCCAACCACTGGGTTTCTTGCTTCTGAAACTGAGTTGCTAATTGCTATAGACTGGTTGAAGACCTTCAGTTTGGATTGTAATTAAGACAGATCAAAGTATTTTGTAAATAGCCTCAGTTCAGCTTTTCAGCATTTACTTGATCATCAAAAACACTGATATTTGGAAACTTTCTTATCTTTCCAAAACTGCTCCTGGGCTTTCTTCCTTACTGACCACCTAGGTCTATGAAAACAGAAATCTAAGGGTTAAAAAGATTGCTGTAGAGGCATAGAGACCCCAAAGTCTGTTCAAAGCAATTGTTTTTCCAGCAATTAAGAATTATAAACCCCATCTTTTATCTCCTTCAAAACATTACTTGTCTTTTCTCCAATATCATTTGACCTTCTGCAAACAGCAAGTAAACTCCAAGACAGATTAACTGTTGACTTCATGTCCGAGAGACTACTTAGTAAACGCTTTTCAATGCGGAAGGCATCCAAACTGTTCCATATCTTCCAGTTCTTTTTCTCACCTGATTCTTAAATACACATATATATTCCCAACATTTAACAGAAACAACCCTTTAGAAAAAGCTGTTAATTCTCACAATATTTGAAAATATGAAATAAAATCATCAAAATACTGGAAGCACCCAGGAGGTCAGGCAGCACCTGTGAAGAGCAAAACAGAAATAATGTTTCCAAGTTGATGCTGGCTCAATGTGTAGTTTTAATGGATCTGATTAATTTGGTGAGGGGTGAAAAGGACAAACTGAGGAAAAGAGAAGTGGCCTGTTTAGTGCAAGATAAAAGGTATGGTTGGTATATTCAGAGGTTTAAGCACAGGAGGGTTCCGAATTAGTAGAGACAGATGTACAGATTTTGAATGCAACAGAAGTCACCAGTTATTTGAACTTTGAGCTTGAAAGTAGGCAATGAAAGTGTAAAGGCATCAGAAAAGACAACTGAGAGTGAAAAGGAACAATTTTGAGTTTTTCAAGATGTCATAAGAAAATGTAAGACAGCATTTGATAAATAAGGTCCCTTGTCAATCATACAGGGTAAAAGGTTTAAAGAAGTTAATGTAATTAACGTAACTCATTATGCTTGGGTCAATGTGCTGCTTAGAGGAAGGTAACTCCTAATTTTCCTCAGGCACAGGTAATATTGCATTAATTATCATAATCTACAAATGTCAACAAGTTACCTTTAAACTGCATCTGAAAATACATAATATTATCAAGGCATTATCTAATGTTTTGCTGCTGGTATATTTAGAAGATTGTTTGATAGAGGTATTAATGAAAGATTTCAGATTGATACTTTATTCATTTTGTCTCTGTAGGTAGCACCTTCGGTGATAAATTCTGATGCAGATTACAATTTGCTATCTATTCCTTGTCTGAGCCACAAAGATGTACCTCAGCCTTTTGTGTCAAGGTCACATGATAACCTGGAAGACATTAACTTTGAGGCATGTGGGAAAACTACAGGACAGGGGCAAGAGGAAGAACATCTCTTTAAATCTGCTGAGCAATTTCATTATGCCCCAGGGGACTGCTGTGAGATCTCTTATGGATGGGCTTGCAACGATAGAGGTAACCAGAAAAGTATATTGAGTGCTGGTGAAAATACAAGCAGTGCCGCACTTCCAGAAATGGCAACAAGAAGCAATCTATCAGAGAGACTGGCTACAACTCTTCAAGGTCACACCATCAAACACAGGGCAGCGGCTAATTGGCATGATGGGAAAACATCAAAGATGACCCAAGGTAATTAATCTGTTATAATCTGTGCAAAATATTTATTCCCTCCAATGTTTTAATGAAGATTTCTCCTTGAATAATTGTAGTGTTACATAAATAACTTAGTAAGTTAACACAGCTTCCCAAATCAATGTCCATATTGCATCAGTACAGTTTTTTAATGGAATAATTAATTGATTTGGACAGAAACAATACAGTGTGGAACTGGAGGAACACAGCAGGCCCGGCAGCATCAAAGGAGCCGGAAAGTTCTTCAGAAGTGTCCCAACCCGAAACGTCAACCTTCCTGCTCTTCTGATGCTGCCTGGCCTGCTGTGTTCCTCCAGCTCTACACTGTATTGTCTCTGACTCCATCACCTGCAGTTCTTGCTACCTCTGCTTAATTCAGACAGGCTGTCTTGCCAATACCCATAATTCCACAACTTGTCTTTTTGCAACACTGTGATCGTGGATCAATTAAACATCCAGATAACAAGCAAAGAAAGTCAAGACGTTCTGTTTGTTTCTAAGGGCAAATTATTTAAGTAAATGAGTTTATTTATATGTAAGTAAGTGAGTACATTATTAATATTTCAAGTGTAGGGACTTCTGAAGTGAAATTCTGAGAAAAGTTATTATAGCCGATTTTTGCCAACCTGAGGATTTCCTATAGAATGTACAAGTGGTAGAACTTCTGTCCACCTCTTATCCTGGCTGTAGTGACCCAAGAGTCTGGACAAAGCTGGGGACTCTACACTTGGAGTTTCTGTTTCTGTATTGGTGTGTTTATGAGTAGCCCAGTATGTTCCTGCAGGGTGTTGCACTGACAGAGATAAATTGTAGTAACCTGTGCAACAATGCATTTGTATCCGAATTAGAGGACGGAATACCTCATGACAGGGAGGCAATTGGACCCTCATAATAAGGCTATGTTTTCAAAAATTGATGCGGGCAGTGGTGGGTGAGGGAATGGGAGGTGAGAGTGTGCTGCTGAACAACCCTATCCCATAGTGGGCAGACATGGGACTATACATCTGTATGGAACAAGTGGGTGTTGTTGGAGTGTCTATAAGTAGCTCAATCACTCAGCAGAGCTATGAAAGCTAGATCCATCTGGGTTGGTGCTGGAATCCATCAAGTAACTCAACCTCCATTTGATTATTATTTCAGTGGATCAGATGATGCAAGAAATAAACTGAGCTAACAGTGTATTCACAGAGCACAGCCGAGATGGTGTTTAAACAAAACGTTACATGCTATGCCATATCAGATCCCAACTTGAAACATGTAACAGCTGCCAATAAGTACTGAATGAGTATGAATTGGAAGTACAAGTCAGCCAATTGGCCCTTGGATTTGCTCTGCCATTCAATAACTTCATGGCTGATCTGATTATTCCGTGTTCCTGCTTAACTCTGAACCTTTCACTCACTCACGTATCAAGAATCTGTTGGCATCTTCCTTAAAAATATTCAAAGAACCTCCTTCCACCCCTTTTTGAGGGCCAGACCATTCAGGAGAGATGTTAGGAAGCACTTCCATACACAAATGATGGTAGATGTTTGGAACTCTCTTTCACGATCAGCAGTGAATGCTGGATCAGTTGTTAATTTTAAATCTGTGATAGATACATTTTTGTTAAGCTAAGGGATTAAAGGATATGGGGGCCAAAGGCAAGTAAATGGAGTTAGGTAACACACCAGCCATGATCTCATTGAATGGCAGAACAGGCTCGAGGGGTTGAATGGCCTACTCCTATTCCAATAATTCTAAGAGATTTCCAAAGACTTCCGACCCTCAGACAGAAACAAAATCTTTTCATCTGTGTCCTATAAGGGCAAACCCCTAATTTTAAACAATGCCTCCCTAGTTTTACATTCTCCCACCAGAGGAAACATCCTCTTCAGATGCACCTCATCAAGCACCCTCAGAATCTTCTGAGTTTCAAATTAGCCATAGTGTGATACAACACAGAAACAGACCCTTTGGTTCAACCAGTCCATGCCAACCCATAATCCTAAACTAAAGTAGTCCCACCTGCCTGTGCTTGGCCCATATCCCTCCAAACATTTCTTATTCTTGTACTTATCCAAATGTCTTTTAAATGTTGTAACTACCCCTGTATCCATCACTTCCTCTGGAAGTTCATTCCACACATGAAACACTCTCTGTGTAGGGAAAAAAAAATGCCCCTCATGTCTTTTTTAAATCTTTCTCCTCTCACCTGAAACATATGCCCCCTAATCTTGAAATCCCCCTCCCTAGGGAAAAGACATCTGCCATTCACTTTACCTATACCCCTCATGATTTTGTACTGTATACCTCTATAGGGTCACCCCTCAACCTCCTATGCTCCAGTGAAAAAGGTCCCAGCCTATCCAGCCTCTCCCCATAACGCAAACCCTCCATTCCCAGCAACATCCTGGGAAATCTCTTCTGAATTCCCTCCAGTTTAGTAACATCCTTCCTATAACAAACTGACCAGAACTGGATACAGTCTTCCTGAAGAGTACTGTATCCATTTCTGGCCCCGTACAGCCTCAACAAGTCACTTCATAATCTTCTGAGCATCAGCAGACACAAGCTTCTAATAGTTTACATCCTGTAAAGAAATACTGTACACAGTATTCTAATCCTCCAGGGCTTACCACGCCTGTATAACTGAAGCATAACCTCTCTAATTTTGTGTTCAGTTTTCCTCACAGTCAATGATAATATGTACTAACATTCCTGATCATGTGTGGTACCTTAAAATGAATCTTTTGTGATTTAGGCAGTCAGACAATCTGATCCCTCTGCATCTCCGCATTCTGCAGTCTCCCACTATTTTCGATCACATACTGCTTTTTTTAAAAAAGTCTTTTTGCTAGGGAGAAGGACGGTATTTTTCGGCTGGCTCTGAGACATTTGTGTCCAGAAGTATTTTCTTGTGTGAAAAGACTTTTGTTTCATTCACAACTTTCAACCCGGTGTTTCTTTTCCCCAGAGCCCCCTGCCCCAGTTACTTCACTCCATATTAATGGCCCCATTGGACAGAACAGCCTGCTGATAGAGTGGGAGAAACCTGTCCTGGATGAAAACGGATGCAGCAATGGAACGTTCATTCAAGGTTATCGGGTACAATAGAGACTGATACTGTATATAATTTGCTGAAAAGAAGAAAGACTTATGAGGCTTAACATGTCAAAGAGGAAAAAAAAGAGGCTGCCTGTGGGTTTATTCAGTAAAAAATAATCAGTCAGAATAACTGAATTGCCTTGGGTTTAAGGTGCTGTACTGTCTATTGCTCATAACAACAACAATTTTGACTATCTAGCAATATTAATGGTAGCAGCACTGCCTATATAAAAAGAGGGGTAAGCTGACTTACTTTACACTTGCCTGCCCAACTTCCAAAGATGGAATGAATCTCACATTCCAGGCAGCTACTAAATTAGTGATTTAATACCAGTTGAAATGAGAGCAATGGTCCTTTTAGTCTTGCTATCTTTTTGGGAACTTTGTGTTTTTAAGTAATACTAATTTGCATTCAATTCCTGTGAGTCTTCAGATTGAAGCAAAACACCTTTTTCCCTGTGACCCTGAAAATACCGGCTTGCACCAACTTTGTATTAAATTATATTAGTTGTCCCTTCTGTAACTCCTGCAGAGAAAGTGATCCATAAGTTTCACAAACCTAGGAGGGGTTGCTCAGTTGGTAATCTAAGCAAAGATTCCATAAACCTCCAGGTTTGAGTACTACCTCGATATTACTCCTGAGGAAGTTGGTGGGCCAACTTGGTGAGTTCATTGGAATTTTAAAGAATTGGAGGTGACCTTATCAAAGTGTACAAGACTCTTGGGGGACTTGACAGGCTAAACGCTGAAAGGTTATTTCCCCATATGGGATCGCCTAGGACCTGAGGGCATAATCTCACAATAAAGGGTTGCATGTTTAAGACATGATGAGGAGGAATTTTTTTCCCTGAGGATTGTGAATCTGTGAAATTGTTTACCACAGCAGCCTGTTGAGGCTGGATCATTAAGTATATTCAAGGCTGAGACAGACACATTTTTAACCAGTAAGGGAATTGAGGGTTATAGGAAATGGTAAGAAAGTGGAGTTGAGGATTATCAGATCAGCCATGCTCTCATTGAATGGCAGAGCAGAATTGTTGGACTGAATGGCCTATTTCTGTTCCAATGCTTTTTGGTCTTATTGAAGATATACCATTCATTTAATGGAGGTAATTTTTTTTTCAGGGAGTTGAACAACAGTTGCCAGTGTACTGATGGTTGCTAATGTGTTTCACACGATTAATGTGACAGTTCGATTGAATGATTGTCATTGCTCCAGGTTTCTTCCCTGTACTCCTTCTAGAATTTTCTTCTCTCATCTCTTAAAGATGTAGACTTATACTTTCGAAGGATGAGAGGTGACTTGATAGAGGTGTACAAAATGATCAGAGGTATAGAGTAGACAGCCAGAGACTTTTTCCTAGGGTGGAGGTAGCTATTACGAGGGGGCGTAGTTTTAAAGTGAGTGGAGGTAGATATAGGGGAGACGTCAGAGGTAGGTTCTTTACTCAAGAGAGTGGTCGGGGGGTGGAATGCATTGCCGGAGAGGGTAGTGGAGTTGGTCTCATTAGGGCATTTAAGCGGCTATGAGACAGGCATATGGATGATAGTATAAGGTAGGGGTTGAGGTTAGATAGACCTTAGGTTTAGGGTAAAAGTTCAGCACAACATCATCGGCCGAAGGGCCTGTACTGTGCTGTACTGTTCTATGTTCCATGTCCTATGTTCTATACTAATGTGCACTTCCAGTGAACCTCACAACCTGTTTTTGGCTTATCCAAATGGCATTCTTTATAGTTGAATGCAACACAGTGAACAATTTCAGAGCATTTATTAAGTAGGGTAGTGCAGGTAGGTCCTTTTCCCATTCTAAAATTGGAGGAATTCACAAGGGATTTGAAGAGGTTCACTTGCTGCTTGTTGAAGAATTTGCACGTATCTGCTGAAGTTTGATAAAAGGCAAGAAATTAGATGAGGCAAAAATATTGTGTCAAAACTTCTGTTTGTCCCTTTCTCAAAGATTTTTGTATCGATTAACTTTAAGCAGGTGAATCTAAACACAGGGGACACATTCTCAGGGTAAAGGGTTGATTATTTAGGATTGAAACAAGAAGAAATTACTTCACGCAGACAATTGCGAATTATTGAAATTCCTTAGTGCTGAGGATGCTCCTTCTTTGAACTTAAAAAAGGCTAGCATGGACAGTTTATTTCTCAGTAAATTAAGGAATAAGGGGAGTAAGTGAGAAAATAAAGTTGATGTGGACACTCGGCTGTGATTGTGTCAAGGTTCAAGGGACAATGTGTCTAATCTGGGTCCAATTTTTAATGTTTTTATAGATGTAAAGAAAAAGTGGAGTGGGGTGAGATTGCAATCAGCGTCCTGAGGGAGGAGAGTCTCTGTGGATATTGGAAGGGTTTGAAAGTCATGAGGATGTTTGTTGTCAGGAAGGCATGCTGTATCTAGCATGTTGGTGTAGAGACTGTTACCTCCTGGATTTGACAACCCATGCCTCATTTTAAATGCTGCCTTTCATGAGATTCAGAAAACATGACGGTCCATGGTTGAATTCCAATTGGGGAATAAATATAAGGCTTTATCCTTGTTATATTTACATTTCAGATGCCAAAACATGAGAGCACCCCTTAACCCGTCTGTACCAGAACCCCTAACTTATTGAATTTATTTACAAACCTTTAAATTTATTTAATTTGACAGATATTCATTGATGGCGAGTTTTACAAGTCGACAATGGGATCAGCCTGCACAAAGGTAAGAAGTACATGTCTACTTTGTTGTTATGTCTCTCTTTTTCAGCATTAAATATTTCACTTGAGAGTGTTGCTAAAATTTATTTTGAATATTCAATTTGCGAGATCAAGATGAATGAGATTATGAATCGTGATCATCCGTTCAAACAATTCTATTTGGAAGTGTACTGGCAACATGACCTTGAAGCTGACCCTTGGTGCTGAAATGTTTAACCAGTCAGTAGAGTGCTTAAAAATATAGCTGTCCTTGCTTAAACAGCAGACGTTAAAGCACAATCTTATACAGAAGGTGGAAGTTCAACAAATATCCCCATCCTAAAGAATGGGGGCCCCAGCAAAATCAGTGTAAAAGGCAAGGTTAAATATTTGAATAGTCATTTGAAGAGAATAGTCATTTACTGTCACTTGTATTTCTTACACAAAAAGATACAGTGAGACGTGTTTAAAAGTTGCTGTACAACAGCACCTTTGCTAATAACAGAAGGCATAGATATGACAAAAAAATTTAAAAATGAAGATAAAGTCTATCTTAGTTCAATTCCCAGCCAGAAGTGCTGAGAGGATGATTCATCCTGGCCTCTTGCTGAGGTCTCCAGCATCGCAGATGCCAGTCTTTAACCCATTCAATTCACTTCACATGGTATCACAAAACAGCTGAAGGCATGAGTTACCACAGAGACTAAAGGTCTTGACAATGCTTCTGCTGTAGGGCTGAACACACCTGTGTTCCAGAACTAGCTGTACCCCTAGCCAAGCTGTTCCTGCCAGTGTGAAAAATTGCCGAGGTAAGTCCTATGTACAAAAAGCAGGACAATCCTATCCAAGCCAATACAGTGTACTGTCCATCATAAGCAAAGTGATAGAAGGGGTCATCAACAGTGCTACCAAGCAGCATTTTCAAAGTATTAACCTGCTCAGTGATGCTCAGTTTAGGTTCTAGCAGAGTTACTCAACTGCTGATCTCATAGCAGCCTTGGACAAAAGAGGCGAAGTGAGAATGATTGATCTGAACACCATCACTGCATTTGACCATGTGTGGCATCAAGGAGCTCCAGAAAAACTGGACCCAATGGGAATCGGGGGAAAACTCTTTGCTGGCTGGAGTCATACCTAGCACAACGTTAGAGGTCAATCATTTCAGCCCTAGGGTATCATTGTAGGAGCTCCTTAGGGTAGTGTCTGGGTCCAACCATTTTCAACCGCTTCTTCAGTGACATTCCCTCCATCATAAGGTCAGAGGATCAGGGATGTTTACTGATGATTGCATAATGTTTAGCATCATTCACAACTGCTCAGGGCCTCAGAACCTGTGACTTGAGCTAATAAGTGGCAAGTAACATTCGTGCCACACAGTGGCAGACAATGACCACCTCTAAAAAAAAGAGTCTATAACCATCACCCCTTGATATTTAATGGCAGTACCATTGCTAAATTCACTACTGTTAACAGCTTGAGTGTTATTATTGACCATAAATAGAAATGGACTAGCCATATAAATATTGTGGCTACAAAAAATGGGTCGGAGGCTAGAAGTTCTGCGACACTAACTCACTCCCTGTCTCCCAAATGTCTGTCCACTGTCTACCAAGGCACAAGTCAGGAGTGTGTTGAATGCTGCCCAGTTGCTTGGATAAGTGTAGCTGTAACAACTCTCAAGAAGCTTGACACCATCCAGGACAAAGTAGCTCATTTAAGATAACAAACTGTAGAGCTGGATGAACCAGCAGGCCAAGCAGCATCATGGGAGCAGGAAGGCTTGCTGTGTTCATCGAGCTCTACACCTTGTTAGCCTTCCTGCTCCTATGATGCTGCTTGGCCTGCTGTGTTCATCCAGCTCTACACCTTGTTATCTCAGATTTTCCAGCATCTGCAAGTTCCTACTATCTCTGATACAAAGTAGCTCATTCCATTACCACCAATTTTCACCTCTTTCACCATAAACATACTTTGAAATCTCTGTCAGAGAGAGCCATGAGTACTTAACTATTCTGTCTGTTCAGGCCAGAGACTGATTGATAGTCAGATTCAGGGATTAGGCAGTTGTGGAGGAAGCTGTTCCTGAAGTAGAAAATTAGTTATGATCTACTCATGGAGCAGGTCCTGCTTCCATTTCTTATGTTGTTATCTTTGGCAGTCTTTGCATGGTATCTTGTAAATAACACTGGTTCTGTTAGGTGTGGTTGTCGAATCATTTATTCTCGTCAGAACTACTCGCCAATACTACCAACGTTATTTACACAATACCGTGCAAAGACTGCCAAAAATATTACATCGCGCAAACCGGAAGGAACTAGCCATCAGGATTCACGAACACCAACTATCTACCAAGGGACATGACCAACTATCACACATTAAGTCACTATCAAGTCAACAACCATTTAAATGAGAGTTGAAGGGTCTGTTAGGAAAAAGCTAATGGAAGGATCCCCTTGAAAATCTTGTTCATCAAAGAATAGCTAGAATGCTGAATAGAATTAAAGTTAATTTCAGAGAACTGTCATACCTCTTTGAGTTTGTTCTAGAAGAAAAGAATGAACCTTCAAGATAATGAAATGCTTTGTGGTGGGTGTGGTTGCGAAAGTTAAAATAGAACTGGATTTATAGCATTCATCTTCATAGACTGTAGTTTTTGATCAGTGGTATTTGATGTGTATACTTTATAAATAGACAGCAATATTATTTTTATTTAAAATATGAAATTTTGTCATGTCATTCTTTCAGTTCTGGGAATTCAATCTTAATAGGAATGTAAGTGTTGTATTCCTTGTGTTCCTCTTTTTCCGTGGGAATCCTGAAAAAATTGTCCAGCCTTTCAGGGAGGCCAGATTTTTTTTTTAAATACCAAGGAAAGTCTGATAAAAACCAAAAGAACTGCGGATGCTGTAAATCAGGACAAAAACAAAGTTGCTGGAAAAGCTCAGCAGGTTTGGCAGCATCTGTGGAGGAGAAAACACAGTTAACGTTTCGGGTCCGGTGACCCTTCCTCAGAACAGAAGGAAAGTCTGATGCCTTGCCATTGAAGTTTATCAACACGCCTCTTTGAACAGAGCACAGAAACAAATGGGTACTTTTTTATTACAAACAACTAGCCAAGAAATTAGTCAGATTTTCAGGCACTGCTCAATCTAATAATATCCCTAAACAAATGCAATAATTTTCCATCAGAACTATCATTGAAACAGAGTTTGATAATTAACACAGAAATTCCAAAAGTATATCTAAAAACACTTGACGGAAACAGGCACAATTATTATAAGTAGATGCTTCACAGTTCATAAAATATCAATATTTTGTGAACCATTTACAGGTTCTTGAAATCCAAAATTATGGTACCATGGTTTCCTGAAGTAGAATAAAGACCAGCTCACTGTTAATCAGAGTTGACCTTGTCCATTTATTTACAGTGATTGTTTTGTTTTAGTGCAATTTGGTGAAAGTGCATTCTGGCATTGTTTAAAAAAAATGCTAGTTTAGTGAAAGGCAAGACTGCACAGGGATTCATAAATATTAGATGGTCAAGCCATGAATTTGTATTGACAACACTACGACAAGAGCCAGGTTTTGTACCAATTTTGCCATAAAATGTAATCTTCCTCCTGTACTATCGAGTTTTTTATGCTTACAAAATTTTGGCAGCCAGAGCCTTCTGATATAACTTCCTGCTTTGAATCTTGGATCTATTTGTACAGGTCAATGTTCTTCAATTAATTCTATTTGTGTTTTCCATGGTTGTATTTTCCAATAAATAACTTCCTGAAATTTTAAATTAACATTGCAATGAGGGAAAACAGGCTTCTGGGGCCTTCCCCCCCCCACCGAGTGAAGAGAATTCTGTATCTCCTTAACCCATCAGTTTGATTCTCTATGACACCAACAGTGCAAGGACTGAGAAGTAGTGCAAATTAAAGTGTGTGACTATATTGTCAAAATCGGGTACAAGAGAAATGAACAGAGACAAAGAAAGATAGAATTAGAGTTAGAGAGAAAGGAAAGACGGAAACAATTATTTTTTTTTTGCACAACATTTGTACCTGAATAATGAGACAGAACACTTGCAATAGTTAATTTTCAAATGTTGACTGACAATAGTTAATACATATTGCATTGTTAAAAGGGTACTTAAGCTGAAATGGACAATCCCTAACTTTCTGTGGTGAGTTGCATTCATATATATCATGCAAATACAACACATTTTACATGATTTAATGCATTTTAAAGATAAACTAACCAGTGAAGGACATTTGTTTAAGTTAACAGTAAATCCCAGACAGCAATCTTTAACCCTTACCTAAAGTTGTTGCCACATGGTTAACAACAGTTCTGATTTAGCAATCTACCCAAGCTTTCCACTAGGAATGGTTAGATTCTAACTCAAAGTTAGCCAATACTGCTCTATGCTGACTGTCAACACCATGAAAAATAGTGCCGGGATCCCATGAACTGATTGAGAACCCAGTGGGAAAGCCTGAGATAGAGGGGTCAATCATTGTCGCAAGAATGCCGAGCCCCATGAACCCAACTGTTTTTAAACAAAAAATGGCTGCTCACATATCTTGCTTTCAGCCTGATGTGGGAGTTTGCACGTGGTTGAGGAGAGGTTTGTGGAGGTGTTGGGAGGTTTAGGAGGGAGATCAAGTGACTGAGGAAGAGCTGAAGAGGTTGCCAATTCCAAAGGTGGGCCGGGTACAAAGCATGCCTCGAGGCTTCAGCGCTATGTCTCAAAATTAAAGTCATTTATGAAATACTCACCCTACAAAGTCCCCTCACCACCAGACACTGCCCAGTTCCCCTCCATGCCCCGGTGCCATCTTATGCCCTCTAAATCCATCCCCACGACTCCTCATACTCCCTATGCTCCTTTGCCCACTCCCATGGCCCTTCATACCCCCCTCTTTCACCTTATGCCCCTCTGCCCATCTACCTACATCCACGCACCATGCTTTCCCCCTCCACCTATGAAACGAATTCACTTACTATCCACAAGTACCTGTGTACACAGGAGAACAAAATAAAGTTTATATATGCATTGCACTTTCTTGACAAAAATACTCATTCATTAAAACTCATTTTGATAGATCTTGAATGTCTTTGACACTTCTTCACAGTGTTGACCCTTTTTAGCCCTCCTTTATAGATCTTGACACATCTAACAGTTTTGGATAATCTTGACATGTTCTTGACAGGTCTAGACTGCTTGACACTCCTTGGCAGGTCATAGAATCCCTGCAGTGTGGAAGCAGACCATTCAGCCTATCAATTCTGTACTAACCCTCTGAAGAGCATCGCACCCAGACCCATTACCACCCCTCTCAATCTTATTCCCTGTAATCCTGTATTTCCCATGACTAATCCACGTAACCTACACATCCCTGAGCAATATGGGCAATGTAGCATGGTCAATCCACCTAACCTGCACATCTTTGGACTGTGGGATGAAACCGGAGCACCTACAAGAAATCCACGCAGATGCTGGGTGAACGGGCAAACTCCACACAGATAGTTGCCCTAGGCTGGAATCAAACACGGATCCCTGGCGCTGTGAGGCAGTGGTGCTAACCACTGAGCCACCGCGCTGTCCTGATTAGATCCTTTACAATTTTGACACTTCCAAGGGATTTGTGTATTTCTTACACACAATCTTCCCTGCAGCTAACAATCCCAAAGGGTACCTGACCATTCCCTTCTCAAAGACTTTCTGATTCCATTGTTAAAGTGTACCTGATGCCTCCTTCCCCAAAGGATACCTGGAACCATTTTCAGAGGGGGTCCTCAGCTCTCCACAGGGGGACCCTGACTATCCAGAATGTACTGAGTGAACCTGCTGTGTCCTGTACAGTCTGGGTTCCACACACACAATGCAACCTCCACCCCCCCACCCCCCCACCCCCCACCACCCACCACCGCTAAAAGGGATTTAATTAGAGACTGCTGACCAGTTCAATGTCAGCTGTCTTGGGAAATTACACACGTGTGAAGCTTGAACAGACTCCACAGAAATAAGAAGTGTTGTATTTGGAGCCAGGATTGCAGTGTGGGCTATTTTCACTATTTCCCCCATGTTGGAGAGCCCTTCTGACATGTGACGAAAATCTGGCCAGATTTTCTCAGCAAGTGATGGAGTGATGCAATATCTAACTTTTGTCAGGTGGCTGACCAAAGAGGACATGCTGATCGAGGTAGGTTTGAGACCTTTGCCCTGATGGGTATTCCAGAGCATCCTCCTCACATGATGATTACCGACAGTGAGTGGTGACCATGCTCAATGTGTGAATAGTATGTAGGCGCCTTCCACCATTCTCTACAGTCTTGGGATTCCTGGCACTTCATAAACTGATGCTGGACTCCATTCGGTAAAATAATGAATGAGTTCCCATTTGCAAATGTGTGGCTTCATCATTTGCTTGATCCCTCTGTAGACAACCAGCTGATTCTCTGGAAAAATATCTGAGCTTATCGTTCATGCGTTTTGGAACCTCGTGAGTCTTGGAACCAAACTCACGGATGTGATATACCACAATTTCATTGTTGCTGTATTATCTGGCGTATTTAAATTGTGATACCAATTTTGATACCAATGTAGGAAATAACTGGCTAAAAGACAAATTAATTCTGTCTTGCATGTTTACAGAAGATTCTTCTTAAGTGTAGCAAAATTGCCCTTGAAGTAATTTGTTTCACTACATTATTAGGTATTCTGCTTATTTTCTGTGAATGGCTCACTAGTTTTTCTTGCTCTTTATAGTCTATTTCCTTATCCTTTCTATCAATTCACCTGTCAAAAGAGATTCTGCCCTTTAGACTCAACACAGATAAGCGTGCTATCTTGTTCATTTAATTTTATAGTTCAGATGAAACACGAGATCAAGTTTTTGCCACTCTAGATTAAGCTGTTGTAGCATATTAATCTTGTACATTACCATATGATCACCTCACCTTCTGCAATTTGGGGTAAATTATGTCACCTTGTTACATTTTCATTTATGTAATACAGGCATTGTCTTGGGAGCCTGGAGCAGTGGAGATATCGATAAATCACAGCTGATCACTGCAAATGCAACCAAATTGGGATTGTGCTATTTTTAGCTCCAAGACTAAATCAATTCAAATACAAGACACATTTATCTGTCTCTCCACTTTGAGAGCTGTGAGTTATCTTCAGTTTAAACAGCCAAGTCTTTGACTTTAAATTTACCACAGATGACTACCAGGCCCCAGATGTGTTTGGAATAATTGGCTGAAGGGAAAACATCATGAGAAAAAAAATGGTCTTAATTGTCACCATCAACAGTTTCTGTACTGTGCAAAATCTATAACCAGTGCTTGATGAATTATTTTAGCTAAATCAGTTATTAGAAAATGTCAGAGAAAAGGTGAGGGAATTTTTCATCCTGACTTCAAAGGCTGTAATCTGGTAATTGACTTTTAATTTAAATTACTTCTTTCATATGTTCCAGATCCTGTTGGAAGACCTTGACCTGAGTGTGCCATTTCAAGTCAGCATCCAAACGGTTGGAGCCAATGGTCTGGTTTCTGAGAAGCTTACTGTCCTATTTCTGAACTGCCAACTACGTGAGAAACCTTTATCAGTACAACCCCTGCCTTCACTGACAGATCAAAGTAACAAGAGTTCAGAGATGCTACAGGTACACTGCATACTCATCTAAAAGTCTGTGCACACTATTTTTGGAAATTTTTATGTCTTAAGCACAAAATTAAAAGTATCAATTGTGTAAAACCTGAAGGAAATGTCTACTAAAGAAATACTAAGTGGTAAATTGTCTCACATCAGTTTATGGATGGAGCACAAAGGATAATGCAATATTGCAGTAAAGATATCCACAGTGCTTTCTGCTATTCTCAATTACATGCATGCCAGCAAGGGGTCAAAGAGATCTAAATCACAGGATATGTTGAACAGCATTACTTAATATAATTATCTCAATTTTTCAAATGTTTTGTTATTTTATATTTTGTTCTGCCATATGTAGCAAATGGATTTTCAGAATAGGAATCAAAGACAAGATTAGACAAAATGTTACAGGAATTGGGAGAAAAAGAGCTTTTGGAATTCAAGTACATAACTTTGATATAATGAAATAAAATAAAGAATTGCAGACATTGGAAATTTGAAACCAAAACAGAAATTGCCAGAGAAACTTCGCAGATCTGGCAGCAATTACTGGAAAAAAGTAAACATTTCAAGTCTGGTGACTCCTCATCAGATCTGATGTTGAGTTAATGCTAGCAAAGTTGTTTCATACTTTCTCTGCTAAGATACTTGAAGTATAAATAATATTTGTCTTCGATATTATGGTTGATAATTTAGCAGCTGGATACTGAACATGCTGCAATGATATTTCTCTAGTTTTAGCGATGATGTTTTCTTGTTTAGAGGTTGTGCTTCTTGTGATACTGGTAACTAACTAAGATTAAGTAGCATGGATTAAATTTACCTGGAGGGTAACATGAGTGCATCCTGACCCTCGTTTGCTTCTGTGTTGAACTGTATACGGCAGTTGGTATACATCTTGGAGCTTGCCTCATTAGCATATCCAGTTCTTAAACCAACAATTGTTACCTAGTGTCAATCTCCTGTCTTGTTTTCCTCCGTACCCTTGCACACTGTTTCTACCCACGTAATCATCCAATTCCCTGATGAATGCCTTAATTAACTTGTCTCCATCACATTTTCAGGCAGTGCATTCAGACTACCTACTGATCTCCCCACCTCACCTCACCTCACCCTGCCCAGTTGACTGGTTTTCTTAGTTTTGTTTTCAGCAGAGCTGACCTACAGGCTGCGACTAATACCTGCGCTGAACCTAGCTCACTTCTCTGTAGCCATTACAATCTTTTTTGCTTTTTGCTCTGAGACACCTATGATGTCTAATCTTCCTTACCTTCTAACCTTCACTTCTGTGCTACTGTCCCTTCACCCTTCTACAGTGCAAAACACATCATTTCTCCACCTTCATTTTCATTTCTGAAGAAGAGTCACACCAGACTCATCATGTTAACTCTGTTTCTCCACAAATGCTGCCAGACCTGCTGAGTTTCTCCAGCTCCCTCTGTTTCCATTTCAAACCTGGAGGGCCTCGTTCTAATCTTTAAGTTATATCACTTATCCTAGATTTCCCAATCAGCAGAAATAGTTCCTTTCTATCTTCTCAATCAATTTGTCTTAATAACTTGACAACTTTGATCAAATGAGATAGTAGGAACTGCAGACGCTGGAGAATCTGAGAT